GCATCCATGTGGCATCATCTCGCTTCAGGAAGACCAGTGTTCAGATAGTTTCCGTGGTTAGGGCGGTATTGACGAGTTGGGTCTTCAAGCGTATGAGAAGTATCTAGATGTTGGAACCCCCAGATATCAGGAGTTGAATAGTTATATAAGAGACAAGCGGCTGGGCTCAACAATATGATTTGGTTAGAGAGGTCTGTCAAGGAGCAAGACCATCTCGAGACTTTAGGTTTCAGATCGAGTAAATATGATCATATTGCAAGGGATTCGTTTATTTTCAGGTTTCTTATTCATGCTGAAGAGTCTTTATGTGTTAGTAGATCTATGTGCGGGTATTGAGTATGATGCTATGCTATAGCAATCAGTAGGTCTGTCCCCAAGTATTGAACATTATGATGAGTATGCTGAAGACTTTGTATGGGTTTTGTTAGTTATATGATCATGCTCTGAGTATATAAGTGTTATGGGGTAGCAACTTGTTCTGCAAGTGGATAGAGCAGGGTGAGGTTTCAGCACTGTGACACTTGTTGGTGTTGTGAAGGACATTGATTAGGCCTTCTTGGGCAATGGAGGAGGTGAGTACCTCCAGGATGGAGTGCTGGACATCTGAAGTGACGACAGCAGTGTCGATAGGTTATCGGGAGCATTCCAGTCATGAGTTGAGGGCCGGAGAGGGCATACCAGACTCATGCTATGGGCTCAGAGGCAATCTAAACCTATGATGAGGACCATGTAAGGGTATTCCAGTCATAGGCTGTGGGCATAGAGATTGTGTTGGTTATGTCTCTTGTAGGAGCGCGTTCGGATTGGATGTATTATTGAGATTCGGGGTAGTTGCACTCGGTTCTGATGAATCAGAGGATGGTGGATGAGACGCAAGGATATATCCTTGGATCTCAAGTTATGAGTAGACCCGAGTTATGTTCATAGATGTATTCCAATCTAGGTTATTCCATCCTGAGGATGACCGGACCCTATGATTGATTGGACATGATATGTTTGGTATTCCAACACGAGGGTTGACTGGGCCAAACATGTGTGTGATACGAGGGTATTCCATCCTAGGGATGACTGGACCCGTCGTAGACATGCCTGGTATTCCAGCCCGAGGCTGATTGGAACAGGTATGAGAGTTCGTATTTGTTAGTCGGTTGTTCACGTGAGTCGTTTCGGGAACTGAAGGATGCATTATCCTGTCAGCACATAAAGGGTTCGCTTCAGGACAAGGGAAGTTGGGTTTCCGATATGTTGGATCATCGGGATTATTGCCAGGGTTGGCAAGGTGGCTTACAGACTAGAGCTACCGGAGGAGCTCAGTCAGATCCACAACACTTTTCACGTTTCGCAATTGTGAAAGTGCATTACGGATCAGGAGGCGGTGGTATCATTGGATGACATTCAGGTCGATGAGTGCCTGAATTATGTTGAGAGGCCCGTGGCCATTCTGGAAAGGAAAGTGAAGGTTCTACGGAACAAGGAGATACCTTTGGTAAAGGTACAGTGGGAGCACCGAAGATGGTCCGAGTGGACGTGGGAGCCGGAGGCAGAGATGCGGGAGCACTATCCGGAGTTGTTCACCGCGACAGACTTCGAGGACGAAGTCTAGTTCAAGTAGGGGAGAATTGTAACGCCCCGATTCTCAGATATTGATTTATGGTTATAAATTTTCATGATTTCAATGTCTACTCGACGAGTTGGTTGCCCTGACTCGTCGAGTAGCAGCGGGTTGGTCCACGTGTTTAAGTGACCTACTCGCCGAGTCCAAGATAGGACTCGACAAGTAGGAGTTGGATGATGAAACCCTAATTTCCGGGGTTTTGCACCCTATTTAAGGGATCATTAGCCTCCTATGGCCTCCTTACAGTCCCTTGAGAGCTCAGCAAACCCTAATACGTGTGTGTGCTCCATTTGTGTGTTTTAAGCTTTGGAAGAGGATTCTTGGTGAGAAGAACCTGGAGAACAAGTGACTAGAAGCAAGGAACATGTGGGAATCAGAAATCTACCTCAGTTAGCATCAATTGAAGGTATCAAGTCGTTATCTTGACCTCATTTCCTTCTAGATCTCATTTGGGTGAAGTTTTGGGCTTTTCTAGCATATTAGGAAGCTTTTCTTGTGTATGAGCTAAGATCTGAAGTTGCAACTTCAGTTCTGAGCTCTCTAGGGTCTCTAATGCCATAAAGCTTCCAGTTTTTGCAAGTATGAAACTCTCCCTAGGTGTAAAACCCCATTACAAGCTTGGATTTTTCATTTAGAGTCTTTAGAACCTTGCATGCACGTAAAGTTTGCAACTTTACGTGATAAACATGCCTTGGAGAATTGGATCTGCAATATGGAACCTTAACATGGCTTAAAAAGCATCTGAATGGATGAATGACTGAAGGGACTCGGCGAGTTGCATGGTCAAATCGGCGAGTCCGATGAAGATTGTCGTGCAAGAATTCTGCATGGACTCGGCGAGTCAGTGGGGTGACTCGGCGAGTCAACTAGGGTTTTCCCGACATTGGACACGCATGAACTCGGCGAGTTGTAGGGAAACTCGACGAGTCAGTGGGGGAATTCACGATTACTCGAATTCTGGAAGGACTCGACGAGTCGGTGACTGCACTCGACCAGTCGGGTCAACATGGACTGTTGACCTTGACCGTTGACTTTGACTTTGACCAAGGGTTGACTATTTGACTTCTAGGGCATTTTGGGAATTTATGAACATAGTTGTGTGGCGAATATAGGTGGTGGAGTTTGTGGCGGTGATCCGAGAGTTTGAGCTTATCTTTCGATTCGACAGTTGCGAGGTGAGTTATCCTCACTATACTCAAGGGTCTAAGGCACCAAGGTCGACCCTTTGGATTGTTATCTAGTTATGTTATGCTAGTATGATCTGTTAGATCGGTATCCTGGTAGATAGGATGGTATTATGTGTTATGTGGCTAAGATCTGTTAGATCGGTTTGTTTGTCTATAGACTGTTATGTGATTATCTGTTATATGTGCACATGTTTGTTTGGTGGTTGAGGCTTATCTGCTTTGTGCGGAGGCCAATAGAACTGGGCATTCCAACCTGTTGGTTGTGGGCCGTGAGTATTCCATCCCGAGGATGATCAGACTCATATTATGTGGGCATTCCAACCTGTTGGTTGTGGGCCTGGGGTATTCCATCCCGAGGATGATTGGACTCATAGTATGTTGGCATTCCAACCTGTTGGTTGTGAGCCTGGGGTATTCCAACCCGATGGTTGACTGGACCCATAGTATGCTGTTTATGATTATATGTGTATGGTTGTGGTATGGGTATTTTGGGGGAACTCACTAAGCTTTCGGGCTTACAGTTTCAGTTTATTGTTTCAGGTACATCAGGGGATCGCGGCAAGGCGAATGCGTGATCGTACAGCTCCTCATGTTTTGTTTATGTTTCTGGGAAAACTCTGATATTAAACATTTTGAAAACAAGTTGTAATGATTTAATGGTTTTGAAATGTTTTTAAAAGTTCAAATTTGACATGATTTTTATGGGTGTTACATATTTACTTTTGCTTTGGACCTCAAATCGGTTTGGATCTAACATGTTCCTATTAATACCCTAAGGTAAGTCTAACATGATTACAACATTTTCCCAAACACCTAATGAAAAGAAAAAATGATGCTTAAAGGGAATAAAACACTAAGAAATCAACCTAAAACTTTTATAATGCTCTCAAAATCGTTGCACATTACCCCATTGAGTGCCTCTAATTTATAGAAAGAATACTAAACTGTAGCAATTTTTCTATATAAATTGAAATGGGTTTCTAAGTGCAAAACATCGGCTTAAACGAACCTACACAATAGTAAAAATCATATCGATCCTCCTCATAAGAGGACATAAGGCAGGTATGCAAATTCACCATCAAAGCTTGGAAAATAGGTCCTTAAGGTTATCGTGTCAGACCTTTAAAGTCAAATTTAAAAGTCATCATTCTTTAATAAATATGTTATGTACACTTTTGGAAAATAGGCATTTTTAGGTTATAATGCATGTCTTCCAAAAACCAAAAATATTTCGATTTATTTAATGGTTGCACCATTTTCACACAAAAACTACGATATTCAACATATAAAAATCAACTAATACATGATATCCATGTGAAACATTCTTTCACAAATCGAAGAATTATTTAGAACTTTCAGGATAATGTTTGGGACCGCTAAATCATTAGTAACATTAAGAGAGTACTTGAAAATATGTTTTCTAATGTATTATCATGATATCCAAAATTAAATCATTAATTACAATAAAACATATTAAGATTAACGATTATGAGATAATATAATATTTGCTCCAATTAGTTGTGCAACTACATACCTTACTCTTAGCCTTATTATTACAATTAAAATCTTATATTGCAAATACTTTAAAATTGAATATTCATGTTTGTAATACATTTAACCACCTGGTAGTATTTTAATCTAAAAATTATTAAATTGACATCTCAACCCATACACATTGAGGAGAGGGGTTTGATAACCTCTAAACCCATTTAAATATCACATCCGAATATGTTAACATTCAACGTGTTTGATGCAATATTTGAATGTCTGAATGATTATAAGAAAATAGAGTTTATTAATTATTTAGAGATGATACAAATGTTGTATCAAACACATTTAATGCTAACCGATTTAAAGAAACGACATCTAAATGGTTCCAACTCCATTTCCTCTTAAGATTATAATAGATTAAACTCATTTAGATACTAAATAATTTAGTTGTAATACTAAATAATTTAGTTTTATGAAACAAACTCATATGGCATGTAGCTAACATGGTTACCTTTTAAGTAACATTTAAGCAAATTGCATTTAATGAATATATAAACAATTATCTAAATCTTAAATGTATCTTAATTATTGGTCTGATAAATTTATTAATAAAAATATATTTTAAATATATGATTTTGAAAATATATTTATTAAATAAAACTATATATATGGTATGCTATTTTATAGAAAAAAAAAAGAAAAAAAAGATGGTAAGTGGGGTCCAAACTCCAAACCAAAACCAATCGTGTCGAGTGTATGGCCTGAATCCTTGCATCCAAATGGACTGTGGCCACAAGTCCACTCACTGAGACGTTGACTACAGCATCCCCGAGATTTTCTCTTTTCCTTCAAAAATAAATCAATAATCATGAGACGCCATTCAGATTCCGCATAGCATTTCCCACATCAACATCTTAGATCTTCTCCGTCGTAAGAACCGGAAAAAAAGGTAAGTTTTCTATTGACAATTTCACAGCTACTTCTGCAATGACAAATCATCTCATATGTATCTCTGGATTATTTCATCGTAGAAACTGCCGTTCATCTGTTTGTTTTGATTTCTATGTGAGTTTTCTCTGGTTTTTAGTGTATGATTTAAGCGAAGTTGTGTATATATCTTGATTCATATTTCATAGCTCGTGCCTCGTAGAAACTACCGTTCGTTTGGCTGTTTTGATTTCTATGTGTGTTTTCAATCGCATATCTGTCTTAATTCATAGCTCGTAGAAATTGCCATTCCTCTGTTTGTTTGAGTTTAATTCGAGTATTCTACTGGCATTTTAGTGTATGACTTCAACTGGATTTCGTATATATGTTGATTTATATTTCATATCCTTCAGAATCTGACGTTTGTCTGTTTGTTTTGATTTCTATTTGAGTTCGGCACTGGTTTGGATGTGTGATTTCAGCCATGCTTGTTTTAGGTTTATACAAAACTCGGAAAATCAATTAATGCAACTACTTTCGCTCTGTTTGTGTGTTCTTTTCATTTGACTCGGAATATATGGTCAACTGCTAGATTTCTGTTTCTCAATTTGTCGATCTCAGAATTGAATTTTTTAGTATCGTGATCCCGTTCTAAAATCTGGTTAAATTAGGAATCGCTTGAAAGTGATAATTGTAACTCAAAGAATCAGAAGATAACAAAAACTTGATTAGAGCTTGCGATAGGTGGTAAAATCTTACCTGAAACTCAGCATCTGATTATTTTGACCTTAAAATAACCAGAAATGAGAATCATAATCACTTTTACCCAAACAATCAAAGCTGATTGTTGCTAGGAGTTAAGCATTATATGAACTTTAGCATAGCTTCATGTGTTTTTACAGGATGGATCTTCCTTCACAAATTGATACTACTAGCCTGGATTACTGGATGAACTGGAGATTCTTGTTATGTTCAATATGTGTCTTTGGTTCCATAATTTTAGCATTCTTTCTGATTTGGAAGTATGACAACTCACGTGATTCAGAAACTTACAAAGAGGGAAACCAACAAAAAAAGGCTTGTTCTTTGTATGAATGTGAAGCATGGATGCCATGTGTGAAGGAGATACACCCTGCTTGGTTACTGGCTTTCAGAATCATTTCATTTTGTTTGCTTTTAACCGCTTGCACTGCTGATGTTGTTCAACAAGGGACTGACTTATTTTACTATTATACTCAGTAAGTCATTATCTTCTTTTTTCAATCAGTACCTATATATTTGTGTATTATAGCATCTTACTTTCATTTCTTTCTATTACAACATTATACTTTTGATTTTTCTTTCTTATTAATACATTTTACTTTGAAAAACCCACCCGATTATAGCATGTACTTTGTATTTGGATGACACTGCTATAATTGTGTAGAAATTTTGAACTACAACTCTATAATAGAAAAAAATGAGAGTATGATGCTATAATAAATAAATTAATGAAAGTACATTTCTATTTCTTGCATTTAGGTTTTCTTGTGGTGGAGGTTCTAAATTTTTTCTTTTGTCTTCTGAATAGGTGGACTTTTACACTGGTTATCTTCTATTTTGCGGTATATCTTTTTCTCATCTTAAGTTCTTGCTTTTTAAAGTTATATACTTATATCACATAACATTAAAAAACATACATTTTTTTTTATAACTTCAATTTACATGAAGTTCATGAATTTTAACCTATCTGTTCTTACAAATGTCCTCAAGTTGTTTTGCAGTTTGGATCAGTGTTTTCAGTCTACGGATTGTTTCGGTACAACAAGATGTTTACTGCTTATAGCTTATATGGTAATGAACAGCAAGCAATTTATGCCCCTCTCAATCATCAAGATTTGGAAAGTGCATCAAATCAGCAGGAAGGAAGTTGTTTCTTGCTAAGTGCTGAATTTTGGGGCTATGTATTTCAAATTGTTTTCCAGGTACATAAACCATTTAAAACTTTTGATTTTTTATAAAAAGAATAAGATACATTTTCTCTATGTTTTCCTAAATACGTAGATGAACGTGAACCTGTTCCAATCATTAAAGTGCTTCAGTGATTTGTTTTTATAGCGTCCCACTTTCATTTATTCCCATTACAAGTGTGTACTTTGAAAATTCTGCACAATTGTAGAAATGTCATCAAAGCAGTTTATGCTGCTATAATTGGGTGGATTTTTCTAAGTTTGGTGTCCTTAAAGAAAAAGATTTGGAAGTTTAATGCTATAATCAGGTAGATTTTTCAAAGTATAATGTCCTAAATGGAAAAGATAGGTAGTTTTTTCAAACTTCAAGTTACAACGCCTTAATTAGAAAAATACTGCAAGTAGAGTGCTCTAATAAAAAGAAATAAAAGTAGGATCTTATGATACACAAATAAATAAAAAGTATGTTGTTATTTCTTGCTTTTTGATATTTACTTGTTTATGTTACACAGATGACTGCAGGGGCAGTGATGCTAACAGATTTTGTTTATTGGATTGTGATCGTCCCATTTCTTACCCTTGTAGATTATCCAATGAATTTTGTAAGTACTTACACTTCTCAATGTTCATTTTTATTTTTATTTTTGAGTTATTTATTATTTGGTAACACTTTTGTCTTTGCTTTCTATTTTATGTTTATAAAAATGTGAACTGAATTGAAGAACAGTTTGCAACCATTTTTCAGAAATAACCAAACTCTGTTGAAAACTTGATTTTGATATTGTTCACAAAATTGGTTTATAGATTAAACTATGTGTTGACAATTTGACTTTTAGCATCAACCCAATAGACCACAATTTTTATCCTTTTCTTTTCCTTCTGATTTCTAAAAAAAGTTTGTCAACACCATATTGATTTCACTGTAAAAAAGCAACACCATGTCATCTACATTACAAGATAAAAAAATACATAAAATATTGGTGTTACCAAACATTTTTGTTGTTTGGTGTTTTTACTAATTTCTCACACGTGACATACCTTGAAGAAGTAATTCTTCCCTTTTCAATGTCTCTATAAAATTGCAAAAAAATATTCTAAAAATTTTCCAAGTGAAAAATTACATAGTTGTCCATTATTATCAGGGCTAAATGCAAGATATAGCAACATACTTTCACTTATTTGTTTATTATAGCATTCTACTTTCATTTCTTTTTTATTACAATATTGTACTTTCAGTTTTTCTATTATTAAGGCATTTTGTATGTTTTTTTATCTGGTCTGACAGTTGACAGTTCTTGCACACTCACTTAACCTTGTTTTCCTCCTTGGAGACACAGCCTTGAATAGCTCGGTAATTTTCTTTACTTTTTTCTTATGTTTAATTTTTTATTTTTTTTTTATTTTTTTTTTTTAAATCTTATAAAATCCCTCCTTTCAGCGGTTCCCTTGGCACAGAATTTCATACTTTATCTTCCTTACTGCCTTTTACGTAATCTTTGAATGGGTTGTCCATGCCTTCGTCAATACTTGGTATGCCATTCTATCTCAAACTTAGATTAAATTACAAATTTAGTCCCCGTGCTTTACTCAAAATGGAAAGTTTTGTCTGGTTTTTGAAAACTTCTCGAAGTCGTCCTTAAGTTTGCATATCGTTACAAATTTAGTCCATCTGACAATGATATGCAAGTCTTAAATTGGACTAGACTTCAGATTTTGTGTAAAACATAGGGACCGAATTCAAAACAAAATACAAACTTCGGGAAGATTTTGAAAAATGGACCAAACTTGTGATTTTGAGTAAAGTATAGGGACCAAATTTGTAAATTACTCTTATAATTATATCAATTTTCTCTTATTTCCAGGTGGCCGTATCCGTTTCTTGACTTGTCTATGGACCTTGCTCCATTATGGTATGTATTTCTAAACACCATTGTGTTTGCAAAAATATTAGAGTAAATTACAAATTTGGTCCCTGTGCTTCGCTGTTTTTTTTCTTTAGGTCCAAAAATAAGATTATAATTCTGGTCCTTATGTCATGCTTTCGTAACATTCTTTTGACATCCGGATCATTTAAGTTAAGAGATAACAAGCAAGCTGTATAACTTTATAAAATTTACCAATATACCCTTGCCTCTTTCATTTTCTTCATCTTCCTCCTAATCCTCGTAGGAAACCATAAACTTCAACCATATTCCCATTTCCAGGTGGAATTAATAGTTAATTTGATAATGAAAACTTATAAAAAATATAAAGGGTGATATAGTCATTTTACTTGGAACATAGACCAAAATTTAATAAAATATGAAAATAAGGCCACAATTATAAGAGAAAACATTTTTAGGACCAAAATTGCAAAACACAACTATCCTCGGGGCCAAAATTACAATTTACTCAAAGAACAACCAAGTACATGGACCAAAATTGTAATTTACTCAATGAACAATAAATAAGTTCTTTTAAAATTCTTAGACGAACTTCCTTTAATACCACATCTTAAATTACATTATTCATTACTCATTCTCTTAAATATGGTGTAGGTCCATCCCATCTAGTTTTTATCCTCTCTTTAAATAAATAATAATAAATAAGACATAATAGCATCTTCTTTGTCCCTTACTTCAAGTAGATGAGACACATTAAATGAAAATGGTATATTGCAATAAATGAATAGAAATTTTATTTTTTTATTCCAACATTGAAGAATTTACATGTTTGCAAGAATCTCTTTTATAAATATCCGATGAAAACTGTAATATATTCTTTTGCTCATTATCAAGTTTACAAGTAAATTAGTGGTATTTATTTGGGTCCACAAGATTATTCTATTGTGCCTTCATGAAAAATAATTTAAACGTTTGATAAATAGTCAAACGATTTTCTTAAACCATGTATCAACTCAAACATTGACTTCCACTGTTTGACACTCATTGTTGATGATATTTTCTCCAAGGACTAAACCCAAGAAATAGTAACATACTTTTATTTACGTGTGTATTATATTTCTTTCTATTACAACATTGTACTTTAGTTGTTTTGTTCTTATTAGGGCACTTTACTCTAAAAAAATCTATCAAATTATAGCATTGCATTTCAATTTTTTTATTAGGACATTATACCATGAATATCAACCCAATTACAATAGTAAAAGTTGGTTTGTATATGTACTACATTGCTATAATCGAATAGATTTTTCAACATACAATGATGTAACGATAAAAGAAAAAATAGGTGATATAATAAACAAATCAATGAAACCACATTACTATTTCTTGCATTTAACCCTTTTATTTATTGAAAACGTGACACATAGGTACTTTATTGTTGCATTATTGCATCTTCCATGCTACGCTATCTTTGCACTAGTTGTGGAATTCAAGTATCGCATATTGAGTAGATGGTTTCCTGAATCATATCGACGCTTGAGATGACATCTTTCCCTTGTGATTGCATTTGTGAAACTGTAACCACAAACCCTAGCGATTGATATTGTGAGAAAAAGCTCAAACTGAACAACACAAAGCAACCTTGAAAAAAAAATTCATTCGGACTGCTTATCATATCAGATCAAAAGGTGATTTAGCATATATAAATATATATATGTTGATATTATTTAAGTGATTTTGAACTTGGTTATTCTTTGAGAGTTTTGAGGTATTAAGATTTATTTGTTGAATTGGATTTACCTGTCATTGTATTTTTATGTCCTTTTTTTTTTATAAATTTAATAAAGAAATATTATAGAGGGTTAAACTCATTAGATTAAAAACATGATGATTTAACTTTTATACCCCTAATTATGATTCTCTCTCTTCAATTAAAATAAAGATATAAAAGTCAAATCACATTATTTTTAAGTAGATGAATAAAAAACCTAAGTGGAAATATCACCTCCCTTTTTTCATCCATTGTTTTCATCAAAGGCCTGAGATTGAGTTCTCCTGTTCTCTCATGAAAATGAGTTCTATGATGGACTTGACCCTTATGTATGAATGCAAAAACTAGTACTTAAAGCTTTTTGATTCATCTTTCCATGAATAAAACAATTTAAGATGTTGTAAACACTTGAATGTATTCGTTTTCTTTTTAACTAATTTGTTTAATAAACTGTGTGTTTGACCTAATATTAATATAATTTAACCCAAATTGGCTTGTTTTAATATTAATTGTTGAAAACTTGAAATTGCCCTTGTAAATCTTGGTTTGATTGGTGACATATTAATATCATATCATATCAGTTATATATCCAACAGTGTTTCTGTTGTAATATCAACATTTAATATGGTTTGTTTGTTGAATCATGACTACGGAGTACGGATCGGATCTCATATACCAGTTGGATTAAATTGTCAACATTTTTTTGCCTTTTTAGTTTTTTTCATAAATAGTTAATTTTATATATAGATACAAGAACTGGTTGTTACAACTAAAGATCCAACTTTCTTAAATAAAACAATTTAAGAGGTCGTAAACTTACCTTGGCCGACTTAAAGTTTTAAAACGTTTCATTTTTAGCTATTTGTTATTTAAATTTGATATGTTTGACCGTTTTCACATAAATTGTTGAAATTGCCCCTATAACGTGTTGTATATGATTACGAAGCAAGTTGTATCATGTATGTAATACAAAATAGTACATTTCTCCCAACTTCTGAACCATGCAACCCCATTCGACTAGTTCGTTTTTAGCTAATATTTTATTTTTACCTGTTAGATATTAACTATTCAAAAGTAAATTAAGTCGAAATTACCACCTCTAAGTTCTACAATTCCAACAATCTTATATACCATTAGCCCAAACTTGTCAATTTGGCACGATCTGAGTTTAAGAATTGGCAAACATTTTGGATTACAATTATTATTTATTTATTTTGGAATGGGATTTCCCTAATAAGGGTTTTCAGGTCAGCTTTTGTACATCAACTAATCTTTCGTTGCAAATATGAGACACTTTTATGGAGTCACTGCAGACGAACCTCCATGACCATAGGTGTTGAGTAGGGCAAAAGTTTGAATTCAGGTCAATGGGTTACTTACAATATACAATTTGATGTAGCTTGTTATTAAGGATTGATGGGTTTTGCTTTGCTATCTAATTTGGCATAATAATAGACATATAAAGTTCTATACTCCATATAACAACAATAAAAATAAAAACATTATCCAAGTCCCATATAAATGGGGTAAAAGGAGGTATGGTTGACAACCTAAACCGTAAGATTGATGACTGTTTCTGTAGAAGACCTTCAACATAAAAAAATCATAATAAAAATTAATTAATTAATTAATTTGTATCACGACCACACTGCATATCCCAACCTATGATCCCCGCGTACAAAAATGTAAGTTCACTGTGAATGATAAAGTGGAGTGAAATGGTGTGTGTATGAAAGATCTTGTTAGACAAAATAAATAAATAAATAAATAAAATCTACACATGAAGAAGGACAAAGATCAACAGGTAAAACATGAATAAATAAAGACATAGTAAAAGCAAATAGAAGAAGTGTGCCGAAAGTAGGTACTAGCTCATGTGAAGAGGGAAAAATGTCTGCAAGTAAAACCATGCATAAAAATATAAAAATAATGAAACAGAAAGAAGTAAGTCGCTAAAATGTACAAGAAGCCCACTATGATCGATAATTGACCGACTTGCATAAGACAAAGTTGATAGTCATATCTATTGCATATTAATCATGTATTTAGAAGCCCGCTATGATCGATGATTGACAACTTTGCAAAGAGATCCCCCAGAGGAGTAATAATGCAACTGGAAAAAAAACTCACACTGTTATTGTCAAGACTTAACCTGTTGTTTTATCCCAAACATGTCACCTTGGAATTGTTAGTGTCCCATGTTAACTAGACACAATCTCATTTTTTGTTTTTACTATTACTTTTGCTATGTCAAGTCTAATCTTTCTTCTTACAATGTTTTGTTAGAGAGATAATCATTGAAATTCAAATATTCAATATAGTATCATGAAAGTTGTCACCTCTATAATTTACTCTTTTTTTTATATCGTGATATTGATCCATTATGGCGATATATTTCTCTCAGAAACATTACCCATTTATTTAAAAAATAATACCTTAATAGAGTAATAATATTCGCGTAAGAATGTCCCATACAAGAATATAGGACTGTAAACGAACCGAATAAACACAAATTAAGTGTGTTCACGTTCGTTCGTTTAAGTTTAACCGAATAAATTAACAAACACGGACACATAAACGAATGAATTTCCTTTTTCATGGTCGTTCTTTTAAGAAATTACTTCGTTTATGTTTGCTCATTAAGATGTTAAATGAACATAAACGAAGATAAATAAAGATGAACGACCATTAACTTCCAAACAAAGAACCATACATAAATACATGCATTACACCAAATCTTACGATAAAAACGATGTAGTTTTAAGTCAAAACGACATAGTATTATTAGTTCTATACATAAACGAACGAACATAAACAAACGTAAATGAACGAACAACACCAATGTTCATGTTCGTTCGTTTAACTAAATAAACAAACAATCTTGTTCACGTTCGTTCATTTATTAAATAAACGAACATAAACAAACTTACCGCTGAACGAATCATGAATGGTTCGTTGAAGTTCAGTTCATTTACAACCCTATAAGAATGTATCACTTAATGATAGGTAGTTAAAGGTAGGGTGTACATAAATTAAAATTGGAAAGGACAGAGCCAATTACAAACCGGCCAATTGGATTGGATGTAAATTTTCAAAATTCAATTGGATTGGATCGGATATTGGATCATTTTGAAAATTAAATGGATAACCGAACAAATCTGATCTAATTGCATATCCAATTTTAATCCAATAAATATCCAATGTTATTATCCAAATCCAATTAATAATATTATTTATTTAATAAAAAATAAGTTGAAGACTTGAAGTTAATGTTACTTTGGTAGTCTTATTTAACGAAATTGTGTGTGGTTTTATTTTTAGTTATCATGGTTATATTTGGTTATTCGAGAGAAATGGATTAGAATTTTTGGATAATGCATAAACAACCGATTAAACCAATCAAAAATATCCAATGGATAAAAACAATCCAATCCAACATCCAACTACATCCGTTAACATAATCCAATTAGATTAAATCGATTCCATCGAAATCCATAATCCAACTCGTAGTTAGAGCCTTGGGGGAACTTAAGCTTTAGAGTAAATTACATTTTCGTCCCTAAGTATTGGTGATTTTTTTTTTTTTTTGGTCACAGGAAGTTTTCTTTTGCAATTTTTTGTTCAAGATTTTGTAACGTTTTTACACTCTGTTCCATATAAAATCGCTACTTATTTGGGACGAAAATTGTAAAAATCATATAAACGTAGGGACCAAATTTTTTCATTTAACCTGGAAGATAGACAAAAAAAAATGTTACAATAACCTCAAACGAACACCAAAATTTCGAAAGAAAATATTTTCGGACTAAGATTGCTAAAACCAGATATACTTAGGGACAAAAAATGTAACATACTCTATTTTAATATAAAGGCAGTTGTTGTAGCATTAATGGTGAGAAAACTCGTGACGCAAAAATAGAAATTTTGCTGGTACGATTAGTAGCAGAAAAGAATTGAGTACTCAAAGCAGTAATGGCGGTTCCATTTCCTTGCAGCAGTTCTTCCGTTTTCCACCGCCGTAGCATTTTCAGGGAGGCATCACCGCCTCAGATCCGTCGTAAATCTCATCCATGGAAGAATTTCAACTTTTTAGCTTCGAATACTCACTTTTCTTGCTCGCGATCGGATTTACAGCTCTCTGTTTCTTCTCCGAAGGTACTACTCCTCAAATCTCATCGTCATTTTTGTAAATCGTTTCATGATTATGTTTAAGCAGTGTGTGTGTGTTTTGGTTGCAGTTCATCGAGAACTTGCTGGATTGTGTTGATTTGAGTGAGGAGGAGGCGCAAAACTCTCTGGAGTTTTTGCTCGGAGATGCTAATGAAGCTCTGATCAGTGCTTTCCTTGTTCTTCTTAGAGCCAAAGGAGAAACTTTTGAGGAGGTTAGTAGTTTCAGTTATGTCTTACGAGTGATCATAAATTCATAATCAAATCGGTGTGTTTAGGTTTGCAATTTGACTTGGAGAAATTAAATATCCTTCTACAATTTCTTCCTACTTATCTTAAATGGTGACAATTAAAATGGCGACAAGTAGATTAAAATATTATTAAAAAAAATTATATATGACACATGTCATCATTTTACATGGCTAGGAGAATAGTATTACATGGCTAGGAGAATAGTATGAAGAAATTGTAGGAGGAAATTTAATTTCTCTTTGAGGTGTTATATATTACTGAATAATTGAAATTAATCAGATCGTCTGTTGACTCTGTTCCGTTGTGATAAAATGCAACAAACATAAAATTGAAATTAATAAGTTATATAAAGATCCCTCCTTTTTCTCCCTTCTTTCAAAATTTACCCCAAACTAGATTTTCGGGTGTTACCTTATTGAATAAATAGTTTATAAGAAGAGAAAATTGCAAATTTAACCAAATTCCTTAATTACTTTGTGGAAAATAGCCAAAAAAAAGCCAAATTACAAATATAGCCATGAAAATCGCAGATGGATTAAGCCCATCTGCGATTTTAGCATTCCATCTGCGAACGTACAAGTCGCTAAAGCACAGTCGTGCTTAGCGACTTGTACGTTCGCAGGTGTTTTTTTTTTGTTTTTTTTTATTTTTTCCGTATAAATACTCCAATCTTTGACTGAAATCGCAGATGAACTAAGTTCATCTGCAATTCCTCTCATCCCACCTGCGATTTAGCGTTTTTTTTTTCAAACTTTTTTTTTTTTCAAATTTTGACTACAAATTGATAGGGTTTAACTACGAAACAACCTTATTATATATAAAGTTTTGCAAAAATTATAAATTTAGTTCTTATTTCTTTGGAACATTTGTTTAAAACATCTCTAATAAAATGAATTCTCCAACAAAAAACTTTGAAAAATATTTGAAAAATGAAATCGTCCATAGTGCATGTAGAGAGAGAGTTCTTAAAAAAAAAGTTTGAAAAATGAAAGAAGAAAAAAAAAATTACGTTTTTATACCCCTGAAAAAAAGGAAATCACAGATGGACGCAAAATCACAGATAAAAAAAGTCCATCTGCGAACGTACAAGTCGCTAAAGCACAAATGTGCTTTAGCGACTTGTACGTTCGCAGATGGACAAGTAAAATCGCAGATAGACTGAGTCCATCTGCGATTTTGATGACTATTTTTGTAATTTGGGTTTTTTTTTGCTATTTTCCACAAATCAATTAAGGAATTAGGCTATTTTTGTAATTTTCTCTTATAAGAAACTTTAACTATAATAAATATTACCATAATTAAATATGAAATTTATTAATTATAAATAATATTCTTGATAATTAAATGTAAAATGTATTAATTATAAGAATATTTTTCATAATTAATGCATTTTATATTTAATTATGATAATATTTCCCATAATTAATATTTTTTATATTAGTCTTTAGGGCACATGTTAGAAGATCCCATAGTGTAAGGATAATTATAAAAAAAAGTATAAAATTTTAAGACATAGATTTTGATAACCATACTTTGTTGATTCGATGGTTTGGACTAACAACCCTAATCGTCGCTATCCATCATTACTTAGATGTTTATGTTTTATTTAATGAGCTTTAACAGGTTAAATACTTAATTCAGACAATGTGTTTTTTTTATTTAATCCAGAAAGAATGACTTAATGGGTTAACTGCCTAACTCTTTACAACCCCCCCCCCCCCCTCTCTTTTTTCCCTTCCAACTCCTCTCACATCATAATTGATGAATATTATGAAAATTTGTTTTTTTTGTTTTTTTTATGTAAGGGTAAAACGGTCGTTTAGTCTCGCTTAGACGGTTTCATCTTGTGCATACAAAACTTTATCCAGACAAACAATATGATTCTTGCAATGTAGATTGTAGGTTTAGCAAAAGCAATGATCAATTGCAGTCGAAAGGTGGAGGGGATAGAGCATGCAGTCGACATTGTAGGGACGGGTGGAGATGGGGCTAACACGGTTAATATATCAACTGGAGCTGCTTTACTTGCTGCTGCCTGTGGTGCTAAGGTTGCCAAGGTGAAAAACTTCCCCTCTCTCTCTGTGTGTATATATATATATATATATATATATATATATATATATATATATATATATATATATATATATATATACACACTAAAGGAGGGAATTCTAACTTATTTATGTGAAAATGAGTTTTATTTTTGAGTTAATATTATAAATGGGTAACTAACAATTTTTTTCTACAAAACATCATTGTTTTAAAAATGGATCATAAATAGGTAACGAACTACCTGTTTTTGTCGACAAAACACCATTAAATAGTGGTATTTTGCGTCGTTCGACCTTACACATTTTAACATCTCTCAAAATATTATTTGTGTTTTACGCATTACCTAACTTAACCCCGCCCATTTTGCCACATACAGTTTATACCATCCTATGATCAAGTAGATGATGTAACTGTAAACATTATTATGAAATCAATAAACATGTCTGGTTCCACTGTAGATGTAGCATGATTACCCTAAATGTATGAACCACATAAATCTTGTGTGTTTTTATTTTTCTTTGCATCTTTAATTGTACATTCATGGTTCGAAAACCTAATAGCACTTGCGCTACATACAGCAAGGAAATCGATCAAGTTCTTCTGCTTGCGGAAGTGCGGATGTATTGGAAGCGTTAGGAGTAAACATAAATTTGGAACCTGAGGTTCGTAAGTCCCTCCATACACCATTCTACTAAAAAAGCGCTTTTGACTTTTTACAAAAAAAGAAAAAAATTATCTTGGGTGATAGGGAGTGAAGAAATGTTTGGAAGAAGTGGGTATCGGGTTTATGATGTCTCCTAATTATCATCCAGCAATGAAGATTGTTGCACCAATTCGAAAGAAACTAGGAGTGAAGACCGTTTTCAACGTGTTAGGTCCTATGCTTAACCCTGCTAGGGTTCCCTTTGCAGTCGTTGGTGTATACAAGGAAGACATTGTAAGTTTAAATTAACTTTTAACCACCTAACCTAACTACACCCAAAAACAACAACTTGTTAACAACATCTTTATTGTTTCACTTTTGGTGGTAGGTTACTAAAATGGCAAAAGCTTTGCAAAGATATGGCATGAAAAGAGCTTTAGTTGTACACTCCGAGGGTTTAGATGAGATGAGCCCGCTTGGTATGACAACTCATTGTTGTACATTCCTTATCACTAAGATCCCATTTGTTACACTACAGCATATCACTCTGACTCAGACATGTACCGGACTAAGACTTATACCATTATCAATCACACACAACTTATAATATTGTCCTACCATGACACCACTCAAAGTGGTCCCACCATCTTTCATTAATATTTTTTTTTCTTTCAAAATAACTAAAAATACTCTAAAGTATGGAGACACACCTTTCTCTCCCCATAAATTTCAAAATGTTGAGGTTTGATGGGGTTCTTTTTTTTTCATAGAGTTGCCAACTATTTGTTCTTTTATAAAAAAACACAATTGTTTTTAAAAAGTAGTGTAAATGGGTAACGAATTATTTGTATTTGTTCACAATATACCATTAAAATAAATGTACTCTGTTGACACAAAATTCTATATAAACAATTTTGTTTTATGAAAAAATAAAAACAAATAGTTTATAAATTGTTACTCGTTTATCATATTAACCCTTTATCAACTTTTTGTGATTTTTTAAATGGTGTTATGAATTTTGTAGATGTAAGTAGTAAAAAATTGGTTATATTTTTGTCTGCGCAAAAGACATGAATGTCACCCTCATCCAGATTATCGGAAATAGCCCTAGAAAGTTTGTCAAATATTGTTACGTATAAAAAATAAAACACAACCTAAAGTTTTATTAATTTTAAAGACTTATTGATGATCATGACACATGAAATAGGTCCCGGAGTAGTTTTCGATGTCACACCAGAAAAGATCAAGAAGTTCCATTTTGACCCATGTAAGAATTCTGTTTTGGTAAATTTGCTCATAGATGATCACACAATTGGACTTGCTTTCTAATCTCTAACCTAAATGGAAATGATCATTTACAGTGGATTTTGGGATTCCTAGATGCACTGTTGAGGACTTACGAGGGGGGGACCCACAATACAATGCAAAGGTGCTAAGATGTGTATTGTCTGGTGAGAGAGGACCTATTGCAGATGCATTGGTAAGTCTTCTGAACAGTCTATCATAGTTCCAACATGGGTCAAAAAGATTTTTTTTAATGGGTAAAAACATGTCGGGTCGGGTCAACCCATCAACTCTTTTGTATTTATTTTAGGGTTAAATGCAAGAATTAGCAACGTACTTTCATTTATTGGTTTATTATAGCGTTATATTTTCATGTTCTCATGTTACAACATTGTATCTTGAAAAATCTACATAATTATAGCAATATCACCCAAATACAAAACAATTTTCATTGTGATAATTGGGTAGATTTTTCATAGTACGATATCTCAATAGAAAAAAAAAGTAGTCTCTGATATAATTGGTAGACTTTTTGAAGTACAATGTCTTAATAAGAAAAATATTGAAAGTACAATGATATAATTGGGTTGATTTTTTAAAGTACAACGCCTTGATACAAAATAATTAAAAAGTACATTGTTGTAATAGAAAGAAATGTAAGTCGAATGCTATCGTATTTTTAAAGTACTATTTCTTGCATTTAGCTCTTTATTTTTATTTTACAAATAACTATGTATTTAATATGATTAAAAAAACTAATAATAGTGGACTTTTTTAAGGAGGTTGTAAGTATTTATACACTTTGGGCAACTTTAGACCTACCCACTCCACCTATTTGACACATCTTTACCTAAGTTTTTATAAGGGTTAATATCATAAATTAGCAACAAACTATTTGTTTTTTCACAAAACACCATTGATTTTTTTTTTTTAAATGCCATCAGAAGATAAGTAACTCACTCGAACTTAATGTTCACAAAATACCATTATATCAATGGCATTTTATGAACAAAAACAAATAGTTTGTTACTCATTTATGCCATTTTTTGAAAACAAATAGTTTATTACTCATTTATGACATTAACCCTTTTTTTAATTCTACCCATTGGAGATAAAATACAACTTCAAACGACCAATTTTTTAGCTAAATAGGTTGAAATTGCCCTTCTGATATTACAAAGTATAAAAATCAAGTGCTCTAACTATTGCAAACTAAAAAAAAAAATCAGGTCCTGAATGCAGCAGCAGCACTTACAGTGAGTGGACAAGTTGGCACCTTATCTGAAGCAGTGGCTTTTGCACACGATACACACCAATCTGGAAAGGCTCTTAAGACACTAGACCATTGGATTTTTGTCTCAAATTCTTAATTATTTTGCAAGAATTAAAATAAGATTTTATGTACGCCTTTTTGGTATTTGTTTTTTTGTAATTGAAAAATAATTGGATTATATAAGATAATAGACTCCATGAAAACAGTACTTGATATTAAAACGCAACATTTTTAATCAGTTACAGAAACACCATAAGTTCAGGAGCAAATACTGAAATACGCATAAACAGAATTTCAGAAAGTTTATGATAAATATAAATTCTGTTTATAAAGATAACCATGAGATAGTTATTTTATTTACTTATTAAGAAGATTTGGAAGCAATTGCTCCAGCTTCTGTCAGCAGGGGGACAAGCTTCCCTCCTTTGTGCATGCCAACAGTGCCTACAGGAGAATATGAGGAAGATTAAATTGAGAAAAACCGAAAAGGGTAAAACTGGAAAATCATAAAATATAAAAGATTAAAAGGATAAAGGCTTTACTGTCACAGCCACCGATGTGCTTTCCGCCAATAAACACATTTGGCACAGTTCGTTGACCAGTCCACTCATGCAATGCTGACTGTATCTCACCTCCATCATCTTGTATTGTATAACAACACAATTTTCAAATCAGTTGGCATGAGTAATTGAGTATGATCATAATTACAAGTGAAGTAATGGTAAGATGATCTCATTCAGATGGTTTTTATTCAGTCTAGAAAAGAAACAAACCTTATATATACAGACAAAAATAGACCTTATATACACACACAAAAATCATTATTCATTCAGACTTGATGTGGAAAAAAAAATGTTTGTTGGAGAACTAAGATGCTAACAGTGAGCCTGTGGAGACAAATTCTGTTCCATGATGAGCTTATCGTGTTTTCAAAGAGGATAATGAATTTGTACTTCACTACTTTGTGAAATTCAAAATTACATAATAAAGTTGGTAAACGAGAACTTATAAATCAGCCTTTCTGGATAACTAGATTTCTCAAAGGCATGGAATTCTAAAACAATACTGAATTTGTAGCAAAGTTTCAATTGTTATAAAGCTCAATTTATGTGCCAGAATTTTTAGCTCGTTTCTTAGCATATGAACATGTTCAAAATTCTAATCAAATCCTAGTTTTACCATTGATGATGATGTTTTATCAAATCGCTCAAACAGTTATAGACAGACATATAGAGAGTGAGAAAGGAACTGACTTTCTAGGTCAAGCTCAATAGCTTTGAAGGAAGAATTAAGCTCCGTCAACAACTTCTTAACGTCCACACAGAAAGGGCAATACGATTTGCTGCCAAAACCAAATCCAAAACACAAACATCACTAACAGAGATCCATTCAAACACAAATTAGTTTATATACATAAAAACCACTAAATTTATACAGTATACCCAAATCAAAAGAGCATGTACCCCATTCGTCCACAATTCCTTGAAATTCACGAGAAAAAAATGCAAACCAAATTTAAGAGAAGGATTATGAAATGGTAGGAATGAAACCTGAAGACGACGACAGGGTTGGATGAAACGAGCTCCTTCGCCTTGGCTGAGGCCATTGTTGATTAAAATTACACGTAAACCGAAAGAGGAATTAGGTAAGATATGAATTTGGACGCGAAACGGGATTTGGAACTTTGGATGATACTTAACAACCATATACTTATTACTTATACAGGACAGTTAAATAGATTCGGAGCCCCTCTCCTGTCATCTTGAACGTACACGTGTTCACAGCCTCAGGGTGTGGGTGATCTCGACCCAAGATATATTCGTGCCGTTCTCATTGTGATGCTTTGATTTTATACGTTAAAGTAATAGAGTAAAATATATTTTTGGTCCTTTGGTTTGGCCAAAATCGCACTTTTGGTCATCGTATCATCTTTTTGTCATAGATGGTCCATGTGGAGGTATTTGGTAACACCGATGGTCCTTGAATTGTTAAATCTAACAACCTAACTGTTATATTTTTAGAATATGACTAATTTGTCCTTGTGTTTATCTTCTCTTTATTGCTTATTATCTACGAATTAAAACTACTAATCACTCCTACTAAATATACCTAGCATCACCACAAATATTATAACCATAACCTCCACGGATCCACCCACCACCATCACAACCACTACACCACCAACTATTCTAAAATATGAAAATAAAATGGTCTACATGACCTTTAGTTATTCAAATGAAAAAAAAAAAAAGACTAAAATCCCCTTAAGTGAAAATATGTATCTTTTGAACACATTTAGATTAAATCCAACAATCACAACCACCAGTGTTACTGCCACCATCCTATAGCCACCACCACCATCACCACCTCAATGTTGATGCCACAACCCGCGCAACCACCATCCTGCTGCCACCACTCCACAAACTACGTAACTATCACAAACACTTGCTCGAACAAGTAATCAACATGTTTCAACTTCCGCACCATTTATTAACAACAAAGCACAAAAATCAATCCAAGGGAACATGAAAAACATAAAACTAGACACAACAAATGCAACCAAACTTGATAGATTTTCTGTTCAAAAGCATTCATTGTTTCTGGTAAAACAAGGACAAAAACACACAAAGGAAACTTAACAAATATCATGGTTACAAACATTACCAAACAAAACATATCTCTATGATAATAGCAACAACGAAGAATTATCTAATGAATAATATATCTTGGAATAAACCCAAACATCATTGCCTTATTCTTGGTGGGCCCTTTCATGTTTGATGTGAACAAAATTTCTTCCCTTGGATGCTGAAAATACACCAAGTATTTTGTCCTTACTTTCTGCAAAACACTGCCCATCCACCACTCATCCCTGTAGTTTGCATCCACGATATCTGTTATGATCCCACATCAACTGAAAGTACTATAAGTTAGTGGCTTATAAGTCTAGGTGTCCCCTCCTCCTACAAGCTGGCTTTTTGGGAGTGAGTTCTACACTTGGGCTTATGGCATGATATGGGCCTAGTATGGGATGGATTCGTATCAATTAGTATCAGAGTCATCCACATATTTTAAGGTAACACTTGGAGTGGTGGCCTACGGAGTGGTGGATTGGACTCGAAAAGAAGGGTGCTAACCGTGACCAACGTAGCTGTAACCAACAATGACTCGGAGTGGTGGCTTGGACCGAAAAGGGGTGCCAACTGCGTCCAACGAGGTTGATGTCACTGATGGGTTTTGAGCATTACAACAATCTTGTGGTGTACATGCAAACCCTAATGCTTGGATCTAGTTTTTCTAATTAGTACATGCATAATTGTCCAAGACTTGTAAAACCCTAATCTAGCATATCATAAAAATCGAAATCATATATAATAAACTAGTTAGAAAGTTACCTTGATTGTTGCTTGAAGAACTTGAGCCTTTGAGAACCTTAGCACCTCAAATGTTGTGCATCTAATAGATCACAAACACCAAAACAATTGGAGAAGGCAAAAGAGAGAGGGGAAGGCTAAAAATCGGCTCCTAGAACACTTAGGGTTATGTGTAGCCGATTTTAGGTGGCCAAGGGTCCCTTTATGTAACACCCTGATTCTCAGGTATTTATAGTATGACTTTAAATTTCAAGTTTCAAGGTCTACTCCACGAGTGGATGCCCTGACTCATCGAGTAGGAGCGGGATTGGGCCACGTATTTAAGTGGCCAACTCGTTGAGTCGGAAGAGTGACTCGACGAGTTGGAGCTGGAGGGTGAAACCCTAATCCCCGGGGTTTTGCACCCTATTTAAAGGATCCTTTGCCCCCTTAGCCTTCCCTTACAGCCCCTGTGAGTCCAGAAACCCTAAATCTCCATTTTCTCTCCATACTTGTGTGTTTAAGCTTGAAAGATGGATCTTGGTGAGGAAAGGCTTGAAGATCAAGAAGCTTTGAGCAAGGAACAGTTGGGGATCTGAAGTCTACCTCAGTTTATCATCATTTGAAGGTATTAAGTCATCACCTTGAGCTTCTTCTAGCTATATCCCTTTTATATTTGAGTTTTGGGACCATTTTGGGCATTTGGTGTTACATTTCGAGTGATGAACCAAGATCTGAAGTTGCAACTTCAGATCTAGGCTCGTCTTGGCTCTTATCATCATAAAGTCTCAGTCTTTAGCATGTTGGTGAAGCTCTTTTGCCTAGAACCTTTTCTTTAGCTTGATTTCAGTCATTAGCACCTTGCATGCACGTAAAGTTTGCAACTTTACGTGATAAACATTCCCTAGGAGCTTGGATCTGCAGTATGGAGCCTTAGCATGGCTTAAAAAGCATCTGTATGGATGAAGGACTGAAGGGACTCGGCGAGTCGTATGAACGACTCGGTGAGTCCGATGAAGATTGCCTTAGGCTCGGCGTGTCATACGAGTGACTCGGCGAGTTGGCAAGTTATGCAAGGAACTCGGCGAGTTGAGGTCAACATGGACTGTTGACCGTGACAGTTGACTTTGACTTTGACCAAGGGTTGACCAGTTGACTTCGAAGGGTATTTTGGTAAATTGAATATTGATAGCAAAGGACATTGGTGAATATAGGTGTTGGAGTTGGAGCTACATCTGGAGGAGTTTGACACTACCTTCCGAGCTACTTGCGAGGTGAGTTATCCTCACTATACTCAAGGGTCTAAGGCACCAAGGTCGGCCCTTTGGATTGTTATCTGGTTATGTTATGCTAGTATGATCTGTTAGATCGGTATCCTAGAGGGTAGGATAATATTATATGGTATGTGGTATGACTTGTTAGACTGGTATCCTAGAGGGTAGGATAATATTATATGATATGTGGTATGATCTGTTAGATCGGCATCCTGGTAGATAGGATGGTGTCATATGCTATGTAGTATGATTCGTTAGATCAATTATTGTCTATAGACTATTATGTGATTATCTGTTATATGTGCACATGTTCATTTAGCGGTTGAGGTTTATCTACTTTGTGCGGAGGCCAATAGATCTGGGCATTCCAACCTGTAGGTTGTGGGCTGTGAGTATTCCATCCCGAGGATGATTGGACTCGTAGTATGTGGGCATTACAACATGTTGGTTGTGGGCCTGGGGTATTCCATCCCGAGGAT